TTCTTAAGCCAGTTAAACGTGGAACAGTGGTAAAGGATGATGGTTATTTTTGATATTAACCACGCGCGTGGCCGAGTGTCCATAGTATTTAAAGGCGTTTAAAAGTATAATATTATTATTAATTTTATGAAATTTCCCAAAAAACTACGAAATTTCGGAAACACGCTGTAAAAACTTTTTTTTGTTCCCTATCGTACTGCCTATAAGAATCATAAATTATGTACATATTATCAGTATGATAAAATTAATAGCTGTGGTGATAAAATCAGTCAACGATATATTATTATGAACAATAATTGATATTTTCGACTAACCGAGTTTTTGAACTRTACACGACACTATACTTCATTAATATGTACGTGTTTTAAAAATGGAGTCTTAAATTTTATGAACTTTTAAACAAAGTTATCGAAGCGAAAAAAACTAACAGTATTTTAATTAGTAAATCTAAATATTATGAAATAATAAATTATTTAAAACAACTGAAGCTTGAGAAGAAAACAAATTCAAAATTAATGAATAGAAATATGACGTAATGACAGTACTAGGAGAAGAAAAATTAATTATGCCAATAACTTTAGAAGGTAATTGTGTAAAATTAAATGCTTTTAATGAGTTATTTAAAATTGTACATGAAATACATTTATCTATTGGGCATGGTGGTAGAAATCATATGGAATACAAAATAAATTAAAAATTAAAAATATAACTAGGGAAACATGCAATAAAGTCATATTTAAATTTTTGCGAGATATTTTTATCAATTATTTGAAATAATAATTTACACAACATACAATCTTAATTTATTATCAAATATTAATATAATATTAATATAATAGCAATAAATAATTATTTGTTTTAGTGATGACTCTATAGTGATGAAAATGTAGACAAACCAGAGACAAATATGTTCGCTGACTATTCTTATCAGAATTATAATAATATGCAATATCCATCTACTATGTGAAAAATACCGGGTCCAGTTTATATAGCCCAAATGATTGACGACGGTTCTACTAAGCCAAAATTAAAAAGCTATCCAAAAACTGTCTATGGTGTTGGCAAAACAAAAAGAATGGGAAGTTTTAATTCAAGTTGGTATAATCAGTTCAATTGGATAGAGTAGGTATGTCAAAATTGATGATTCTGTTTATTGTTTTCCCTGTAGATTGTTTTCATTTAAAACCAATTCTGATTTATCTTTTGTTAATGTTGAGTATAAAAATTTGAAAAATACAATGTCTTGTAATGGGTTTATTAGATATCATAATACTGATGAACATAAAAAATGTTTAATAGCAATGTTTAATAATAATGGTTAGATTAAAAAAAAAAAACTTAAGTTCTATTACAAATATTAGATCAACACACTGATAGTTTATGAAAACAGGAGGTATATGAAAGCAATTATTGTATCTTTGAGAATGTTAGCCATACAAGGTCAGGTTTTCCGAGGCTATCATGAAAATGAGGGTAGTGTTAACAGAGGTAATTTTATAGAAATGATGAATTATGTAGGGTTGATTGATGAGATAGTAAAAAATAAAAAAATGGTCTAAAAAATGCAAGATATTTGCACCACTCAATACAAGTTGAAATTATTCAGATCATGACTAATATTATATAATAAATAATATAAAAATAAATAATATAAATAATATATAATATTAAATAAAATTTCTTCTGAAGTTAAAGAATCTGTACACTTTTCTGTCATGGCTGATAAGACTAAAGACATACCTATCAAAAACTGAGCAATTTTCTGTTGTGGTAAGGTACTATTTTCAAGGAGAATTAAAAGAACGTATTATAGGTTTTACTTCATTAACGAATTTTTATAGTACGAGTACATCTTTATTTTTAAATATCAAATCAATTTTATTCAAAAGTAAAATTGATATTATGAACTGTATTGCCCAAATATATGATGGGGCAAGTGTGATTCGTGGACATATAAATGGTATACAGGCATTATTCAGAAAGGAAGTTTCTCAGGCTTTGTATATACACTGTGATAATCATAGACTTAATTTAGTTTTAGTTGACGTAACTAAAAATATTGAACAAGTTGAAGGCTTCTTTAATTTTCTACGGTAATTATATGTTTTCATGTCTTGTTCAGTTGTTCATAAAATTGATCTTTATCAATGCATATGAGCGCATGGGTATTGACCAGGGTGGCAAGGTGGAGAAGTCCAAAAGTGCAAGTAAATCATAAAAATATATATAAATTATAGATATTTAGGGGCTCAAAAAGTAAAATCATAAACCTGTTGTATTATAGTAATTAGACTGACAGGCTACAGCTTATTATTTTACTTTGGTAACCGCTGTAATTATTTATAAAAGCAATTACTAGAAATTATATAATGTAAATTATTACTTGCACCATAGCATAAAAGCTTAGTTCTTAATATGCAATTTATAGATATTTTGAATTTTATTTAGATTAAATACATTTGTATAAAGGTTTTTCTTGTAGTATATACAAATTAATATATAAATAATACGTACGAATTTCCTCTGTAAACGATAATGTTAAATTAACTTACAAATTTCTATTATGCATATCATATTTTGCATAAATAGATAAAATGCATAATATGTTTTATTCATAATTATAGTAAAAATTCTAGATTTTGAGAAAAATAGTCTTTCAAATTGCTATAAAATGTTTTCTAATTTTAATAACTAATTTGTCATATTAAATATTACAGTACAGTGAA